CTGTCCGTGGGGATTGCCTCTTCCCCTGCCATGGCCTACACACCAGGTTCTGCCCAACTGTTAGGATAGAGCTGCAGAAGGATGTCCACCTTCCTTTTCATCTTTCTATCGGCCTCCTGTTTGGCCTCCTGATCTCAATTGACAAAGACTTTTGTGGCCACCTCCAGAAGCTGGCTGGTGTTCATACCAGCAAAACCCTCAAGCTTAGACATTGATCTACTATTTGATCCAGCAATACCACTCTTGGGGATATACCCAAATGACTGTGACACAGTTACTCCAGAAGCACCTGCACACCCATGTTTATTGCGGCACTATTCATAATAGCCAAGTTATGGAAACAGCCAAGATGCCCCACCACTGACGAATGGATTAAGAAAATGTGGTATCTATACACAATGGAATTTTATGCAGCCATGAAGAAGAATGAAATGTTACCATTCGCTGATAAATGGATGGAATTGGAGAACATCATTCTGAGTGAGGTTAGTCTGGCCCAAAAGACCAAAAATCGTATGTTCTCCCTCATATGTGGACATTTAGATCAAGGGCAAACACAACAATGGGATTGGACTTTGAGTACATGATAAAAGCAAGAGCACACAAGGGAGGGGTGAGGATAGGTAAGACACCTAAAAAATTAGCTAGCATTTGTTGCCCTTAACGCAGAGAAACTAAAGCATATACCTTAAAAGCAACTGAGGCCAATAGGAAAAGGGGACCAGGAACGAGAGAAAAGGTTAGATCAAAAAGAATTAACCTAGAAGGTAATACACATGCACAGGAAATCAATGTGAGTCAATGCCCTGTATAGCTATCCTTATCTCAACCAGCAAAAACCCTTGTTCCTTCCTATTATAGCTTATACTCTCTCTACAACAAAATTAGAAATAAGGGCAAAATAGTTTCTGCTGGATATTGAGGGGGTGTGGGGGAGATGGGTGGGGGCGGAGTGGGTGGTAAGGGAGGGGGTGGGGGCAGGGGGGAGAAATGACCCAAGCCTTGTATGCACATATGAATAATAAAAGGAAAAAAAAAACCCTCAAGTTTTTGTAATTTTCAGCTTATGTCCCCCTGGGCCTGGCTGACAAAGGCTGTATTAATCACCCTCTGGTTTTCAGTCATCTCTGGGTCAAAAGGGGTGTACAGGCAGAAGGCCACACATAGCTGCTCATAAAACTGGCTGGAGCTCTCATCTGGCCCTTGAAGGACTTCTGATGTCTTACTTACATTCATGGCCTTTTTCCCTCCTTGCTTCATGCCTTCTAACATTGCCTCCTGATACGATACAAGCTGTGGTAATCTCAGTCATCATTAGAGTCCCAGTGGGGGTCCTCCTAGAGGAACTAGCCCTGGGAATAGGCTTGGGCATACCTGCAGGGACATGATTTTCCAGTCACTTTGGAGCCACCAAGGTTATACAGCATCACTCCCCAGTATTAAATAGTCAGAAGCGTCAGCAGTCTGTCCAGGTGGGCTTATGAGTTTGGATGACGGACTGTATTAGATCAATCAGGGCCTGAGGCTTTTCCATGAAAGAGCAGGTACGGTGCTTCAAACTAAGGAGGTCTGTGGTGGTGAAGGACTGGTAGACGAATGCCTGCCTTCCCCCTTGTATCTACCATGCTGGTCATAATATACTTGGCCCTGGACCTCTCTCAGGGGCATCTGCAGGGTGGTGGGCCTCGGGAGGAGAGGTTAGGTCTGTAGTGGGACTTTTCAAATGTTCCTGGTTAAACCTAGAGGCCAGTCTTGCAGGGAGCTGTGGAGTGAGGACTGGTGGGCTCAGAGTCAGCATGAGGTTCATGGGGCCTGAGGAAAGCAGGGTTGTTGTACTCTCAAGGACTCCTGGGCCCAGCCTTGTAGCCATATTTGCTGCTGGGGCTTCCCCATCGGATGCTGCTTCCCGTTCCAGAGATGGACGGTGGTGGCAAAGGTGGGTACAGTGGCACATAAGGGGGTGGGGTCTCCTCAGGGTTCCCTGCTAATACAGGTTTCTCCAGTCTTTTACATTTTTCCCTGCACTTGGAAGCTGCTGCTGCCCTGGCTACGAGGACCCTACATGCTTCCTCTAGGTGGGGCTTCAGCCACATGGGCCAACTGAGGACTGCATCCTGAAAGTAGTCAATATAAGGAAACTGATCTGGGTGTCCAGGCTCTCCTACAACCACTTCAGAAACTCTATTGACTATGAACTTATCTAATGACCTTATCTTCTGAGGCCATCCTACATCAAACAGTCTATTTCACAGAAGGTCCTAAGCTTGCCAGGAGTCAGCGTGACTCTCTAATCTCCATTAAATCCCCTCTTAAAGTTCTTAAGTGTGCACTCTAGAGAGGTGTTCTTACTCTGACCCCTTCCCCTTCCTTCCATTTGCCAGACAGCAAGACAGAGACAGAAACGGAAGGGAAGAGGGCTGTGGAGAGGAGGTAGGAGGTCCTCCTCTCCGACACACAGGAGAAAACAAATAACACCATTCACTTCGTCCACCTCTGGCCGCTCCTCTCACAGGGATTTAGGCATCTCTTAGTTGTAATGAGTCTGTATAAACCCCAGACTAGAGACCCTGTTAGGGCTCACCCTAGACCATTTGAGTTTGCCATGGACCATGAATCAGGACTCCACACTCATCTCATAGCTGGGCTGCGACTCAGGCTCGTGATTTTACACTTTCACACAGCACAGTACTTGCTCCCCACTCCCTGAACCTGAAAGACATGGCTTCACCCCAAAAGGGGGCTACTTACGTGTTTTAGGGAGTTGATCAGACTCCCCTTCTGCCTCCTGAGGCAAGTCTGAGTTCAAACCCAGGTTCTTACCAGTCTGGGGAGCAGGGTCCCCATGTTGATTCCTGAGCCTTTCTAGGTTCCTTTGTGCAACTGGAACTTGTCTCCTTGGTTTGCCAGGAGAAAGGCTCCCTCCCTTCGGATCAATGTGTCCATGGCACTTGGAACAGGCAGTCCTCTGCCTGACGCTGAGTCAGTGACAAGGAGGTGAAAACACCACTCCCCAAATCCTGGCCACAAGCCCCAGAATGTTGCAGGCTGGCTCAGAGAGATGGGCCCCAAAGTTTTCAGGAAGCCAGTTTATTAAGCAGGCCCGCAGTGACTAAGTGAATTTGTGTTCAAAGGCTGAGCCCCGAGAACAAAGGGGGACTTCCTAATATACCATTTAGAGCAGGTAACAGAAATTGGGGGAGGAGGTGGGGGGTGCAGCTTGTCCCATACATGGTCACATGATATTTCACTGGCCACTTTAAACTTTGGGGCAAAGTGACTTTTCTCTGGTCTCACCCAAGGTGACATTCCCCAAATTCAGTTTTTCTGGGTTTCACTGTAGCACTCATTATGTCTCATTATCACTCATTATCTCCCTTCCCCCTCCCTGCCTTCCTGCCACAGGGTCCTTGCAAATACAATGGCCAAAGTGCCAAGAAGCATTTCCACTAACAATCAGGATAAGAAAATTTGTAAAATATATTACTTTGCCAGAGCTGCCAAAACAAAGAATACAAGACTGGGTGGCCTAAACAACTATGTCAGTCCTGGAGGACTGAAAGGCCATGAACAAAGTGCTGGCAGGGGTTGGTTTCTTCTGATGCATCTCTGCAGGTGGTTACTCTTGCTGCTGTTCACATGGCCTTTCCTCAAAGCATATGCCCCTGGTGTTTTTAATAAATCTTAATCTCTTAACAGGGATGTCAGATTGGATTAGGGCCACTCTTAGTTTAAACACCTCTTTAAAGGCACTGCTCCAAATATTAGGGCAGGGAGAGATGTTCCAGTGCTTCAACATATAATATAAAGGAAAACACAGGTAGCTGCTCTCTCAGCAAGGACTGAAGCACAATGGAGGACTGAAAAGAGAAAGTCAGACCAAAAATTCTGGGTTTTAAGAATGTTACTAACAGGTATTAAGGACATCACCAAGGTTCTCTAAAACTGCTGCTACAGACACATTTATAGTTACTGGAAAATTTAAAATATCTATTATGTATCAGTGATTTGAAATAAATAAGAAATGGTCTGTGACCTCAGAATATTAACTTGTAAAAATAATAATTTCCAAAGAAAGAGACCATGGCTACAAATTAAGAACATTCAATTCATCAGAAGTAAATTGAAAATAATCAGTGTTTTACATCTTCATCATGATAGAATGTAAAGCTCATTTTTTTGGTTATGGGGTCAGGTGTCCCCAGCTTTGGTAAGGGCACTGTTTTCTGAGAATTTCCCCAGGTATAAAAAGGTCAGAAACATGTTCTCTAAAATCCTTTCCAGACCTAATATTCTAGTAATTTCTTAGAATCAATTTTCTATCCCACCTTCTATAGAAAACTCAACTGGCCTACAGTATTACTTAGCTAGTATGGTTTGACAATCTGATAGCCAAGTTGTAACAGGTTAATCAAACCTTTTTGAAAACATTTATAAAAACTGTGTACCAGGTTTTCTTGTAATATAACTACTTTTCTTCAGTTTGACACACCTGAAGTGCTAATGAGACCAACAAAAATTAATCCATTAGAAGAAATCAGCTTTCTATCAAAACCGAGATCTCTTTTACTTCCTATCATCCTTGAGCTCATTTTTTAAGATAAAAAACTAAATTTTCCAGGTTTAATAATTCTGTTTCTATACCTCTGAAGCTGTTCTCTCATGTCTTATTGCTATGGTACAAATATAATAAGTAAAAAGTTTTATAATAGTTGGTAATGAGGCTTTCTAGCACTTCTTCCAAAATAGGAATTTAGGCCAAACATGATAGTTCAAGTCTGTAATCCCAGCTAATCAGGATGTAAAGACTGGGAGGATTGTGGTTTGAGGCCAGGTCAGGCAAAAGTCGAAGAGACCCCATCTCAACCAATGACTGGACATGACAGCACATGCTTGGCATCCCAACTACACAGAGACACACAAATAGGAGGATCATGGTCTAGGTGGGCCCAGCCATAAAGTGAGACCTTATCTCAAAATAACCAATGCAAAACGGGCTACCTATCAAGTTTGAGGCCCTGAGTCCAAATTCCAGTACCACCAAAACCAAACAAGGAATTTATTGTAAAAATCACATAAACTGACTTTTTATTACAAATTATTATAAAATCTTCTTAAATAATTTGTATAACTCCTTCCAACAAACTGTGTTCTGCCTTTCAGCATCTTAACTGGCAGTGCATTCTGATGGTACAAACTTTTTCAGAATGTACAAAGATCTGGTACAAGCCAGGATCCCTACAGTGAATTATTTTTTTTTAAAGTACTAGTACTTTTTGTTACTGAGTTGTAGTCAGTAAGAATAACAGAATAAATAGTAATAGGACACTTGTGTTGAATTTTTTAAGGCAAAAAAAAAAAAGTTTGTTTTATATTTTTCCATTGTTTTATCCTTCCCAAAACATTTTTAAAAGCAAAAATTGAAGAGTTTCCTAATTACCTGAAACTTCAATAATCTACTGTACTTTGAAGAAACTATAAAAAGCAGCATCAATTAAATAGTGGTTACTTCACAAATGTACATACTACAATCATAACCTATCTCAGTATCACTCAAGCATGTCAGAGAAACCAGCTCACAGTCCAGTACCCTGACAGGTAAGGAAAAAGGCTGTGCACAGGAGATAAGCAACCCAAAGTATTCAGGTGCTTTGTTGTGGGGAGACAAGAGTGTCAAACTGAGGCAACACTCCTTACAGAATCCAAAGTGGTCCTAATCACAAGAGCAGGTCCTGTAAACACTTGAGTGCTTGTTGACTACCTCATCACTTCAAAACACAGGTGGCACAAAGGCTTTACAGAGAAAAGCAATTATTCAAAACTCTACACCATAGCAGACAGAACTGAAGTACAAAATTTTTTAAAGTTGTTAATGGCCCTATGGATTAATTAAAGGTCAACTTTCTTCCTAGAAACAAAACACAACCCATATGTCATCTAATGCAGTTAAAAATAAAGATCAGCTGTCAACACAGGCCTTCAAAGAAAAAAGACAACAGGCAATTACTTGGAATATAAATAGACCATCAAGTTCTATTTATCTATATAAGTGGACCTATTTTCAAATAACAGAAATAATGTAGCTATTTAAATTACCATTTTAAACAATATTAGACAAAAAACAAAGGAACCTACTGAACTGTACGTTACACTTGAAAATAAGTTGGTAAATTTTATGTGTATTTTACCACAATTAAAAATTTTTTAAGCTTTGGGGAGAAGGGGTACCTTGCTGATTTAAATTTAAAAACAAAATGTTACTTCTCTTTTTATATTCTGATGTTCAAAGGATCAGTACCGAATGCCTGTATTTCTAAGCACAGAAGCAAATAATACTTAAGTAACTTTAGTCGCAGGGGAAAGACTGTTTAAGGAGCATTAAAAATAAAAACCAGGGCTTTACAAAAGAATCACTTTTTTTTTTTAGGTCTATCTATTTAATGGAATACGTTGACCACTTATTTATAAACCAAAAGGTGATTTCTTGAGTATTTGGAAAAAGGAAAAACATCCCTACCAGCAACTTTTTGGTCTCATTTAGAATCATCCTAACTCCCTTGTGTACCCTCACTGTATTAATAAGGGCACCATAATATCATGCAAAGCCTGATCCCAATCTGGACTTTGCACAGGGTATTGCTGAAGCAGTCTAAGCATGAACTCCACAGCAGAGGCACACTGACCAATCCTGTGACCATCTATAGAAGCAGAGGTGTCCTTTCTCCAGCCAGCTGTTCCTTCTGGAAGAGCTCTTTGATTTGGGTTAATCGACCATACAGCCTCTCTCTCAATGGAGGGATGTGGTGGCTGGGGTCCAGAATGTTCGTTATTCTGCGTTCTCTTTCTTGCTTCCACAGTTTGTATGGGTGGGGGGGCGGAAATGGCTGCCTTCTTTCTCTTCCAATCTGTAAGGTAATTCCACTGACAGCCAGCATCCCCCATGTTGCCAGGACAATAAAATCTAAACAACAAAAGAGAAGCACTGTTTGAAGCTTCGTATTTTAAAACCTAACATGTAACAATACAACCCTTCATGAACTAAATCTGTGTCTTCCTTTCTAATATCAGACTTCCTTATGAGTCCTATGTTCAGTTTCTCACTTGCAAACCAAGGGGTGAGTAAGGAAGCTATGTGTTATTTTTCAATTAAGAACTTTCGGTTACAGGCATACAAAAAGTCTAAATAGGTCATAATATTTTATCAATTGTTTGGATCCTTGCACTTGATCAGTGCCCAAAGACACAACTGTTGGTTTCTGCAGATGGGGGTTGGGGGCAAAAAGCAACGATCTAGTTATGCTCTATATATGGGACACTAGCCACTGTCATGCTCATTTCTTTCCCATTCTACTTTCCAAGGGACCCTACCTAGTCATATAGAGAAGACGTGGAACTGCATGAAAATATACCACAGGTTGTATTAAATTTCTAGTAAATGTTTTGCTTCTTGACAAAACATTGTCTTGTACTTAAAGCTTCAAACACATGGATTTCAAGGTCTCTACCATCAACCTCTTATCCAAAGGGAAAGTTCTGGATAGTAGAAAGAATTGTCCTAGAAGTTCATAACAACACAGTTGTGCTTGTTCAACATACCTTCAATTCTAAAACATGATTTTCCACCTTCCACATCTTAACATTTCTGGAATCAACATATTTTACATTTATGAACATTTAAAGTGGTGGTCATTATTTTTTCCTTCAAAAAGTTAGTGGAAAATCTTTAATGGATAGAATCTTAAAATTGGGGAGATAATATATATACTTACTAACTGAAAAATCACAATTTTCACTAGCAAATTGTATCCTGCATTAAAGGAAGGAAACAACGAATAACTGAAAAATTAAACTAGGATGTCATTCTCATCTGTTATTCTGCCCCCACCTGTGGGGTATCAAACATCCTTACTATCAGCATTTTTCCCCATCTGAGAGTTGACTTACATTTAGTTACCTAAGTAATCCTGGCCTGGAAATTTCTTTTTTATTGGAAAAATATTTTATTAGCATGTATTAATTGTATAAAGGAGTTTCATTGTGATATGTCCATACACATCAATGTTCTTTGATCAAATTCATTCCCTCTATTACTCTACTTGTTCCCTGTCCCCCAACCCTTTGTGTTGTATTTAATGGATTTCATTATTCTATTTTCATACATTCACATAAAGTACTTCAATCATATTCACGCTCCCACACTTTCTTTTCACCTTCTCACCCACTGGTTTGAAATTTCTTAATAGATTTTTTAGTAAATTTTTAGAAATTTGCAATTCAACCACCTTGACTTATGATCACATGATTATAAGTTATTAACACAGAGCTGTCATAGCATTTGTATAGCATGTTTCCTCTTTTCATCCCAGTTGACACTTTCATGTGTTCTTGTTCACATGGGTGACTCAACACTTCCTAGTTGACAATCACTCCAGTTTTTGGATTTAAAAGTCTTACCATTAGTTTGAAAAGGCACATTTGTGAAAGCCCTGTGGAAATCCATGTTGAGTGCTCTCCTGAGGACATTCAAAGTGATATAAGAAAGGCTAGTGTACATGTAGCTGTCAATGGCCAAAACCACTGAGTATGAGCCAATGACTCCACAAGTCAGGATGTTCATCTGTGAAAGAACAAAAGAGTCAGGCATTATCCCAGGTAGAACATGTATAGTTTCTAACTCTCACAACTGGCTTCAATGTCAGAGAATCACTTTTGTTCCCTCAGGGCTCATGAAAAGATTCCAGATCTTAGAGACAATAAAGGTTACCTGAAAACATAAACTTAAAAACAAAAAAAAACCCATAGTGGGTTCTTAAAATACAGTTTAGCTTATTGAAACATAGTCATGCACCACAAAACAACATTCCAGTCAATAACTGACTGCATATACAATAGCAGTCTCATAAGATTCTATCACCTAGTAACATTGTAGCCCTCATACTTTGTACACTCCATGTTTGCACTATGACAAAATCACAAGAAAATACAGTTTTGAGAATGTGGTCCCATTCAGCAGTGTATGACTATTCTATAAAAAATAACCTTTCTTGTAAAAAAAAAACCAAACTTCAATAATAAAATTTAATTAGATGAGACCCATTCTGGAGAGGCAGCTAAAATTGTTACTCCATCATGTTGCTGCACTAGAGTAAGATGAACTTCCCTGCTTCCACTGCTGAAATACATTGATAATTGATGCTCTATTTGATGGAAAAGCAGAAAACACTGAGTGAGAGTCATACATACAGTTTCCTTTGCTTTCAGAGTAATGTCTATTTGAAAGCAGTCATCTGATACAAATAATCATATAGCCTTCCCTAGTAAATTTGTTATTGTACAAAATGGTACAATAAGAGATCAGCTGAAGGCCCAGGACAATATAATAAACAAATCTAACTTGATGAAACACTTACTATTCTTAGGCAGCCCATGAAAATTACTGGAATGAGGATAGCTATACAAGAGAAAATCACCCAAAAAACAGCATCATCATGAAAAACCTTCAGGTTTCCTGAAAAAAGAAGTGAAGAATTAATAAGAGTCTCACACAGTTAAATTTCATTGTCAATATCTGAACACAGACATACACTGAAGGTTTAAAGTAACAACCAGGGAACATGAAGTCTGATTTTATTCACTCAACTATCAACAAAATCTCCTTTAAAGGGTATGTTTGGGGTCTAGGGATAGGAGAATCCTGCACTTAGTAGCAGGATAGTTAAGAAGCAAGAGTCCCAGCTTTTTCATTCACTGGCCCTGTCACCCTGGGCCTCAGTTTCCATGAAATGAAACTTATGTCCCTAAATTTCTGTGCTTCCCTGTTTTGTACTAGGGGAGGGCAGGAATCCACAAGTAAAAGGACATTCAAAGTTAAACTGTGAATACAATATAAGCAGCAAAATCCTCTTAATAGATTCTTACCATCAACCCATATCCTGCCAAACACTGCACATGAAGAAATCAGGGACAAACAGGAGTTAACATTCATCTGTTTCTATCAAGCCCTTCTGCTGCCAGATTCCAACTATAGGGCAAATCTTAGGGTGACACAGAACCAATATATGACAGCTCCTTTTTATAAATTAATTGTAAAAAGCAAAGACAGGCATAGTGATACATAATTATAGTAACTATAATTATAGTCTCAGCTACTCAGGAGGCTGGGACAGAATGTGAGTTTGAGGCCAGCCTGGGCAATTTAGCAAGAGCCCGTCTCAAAATACAAAATATTGGGGTGCTGAGGGTGTAAGTCACTGGTAAAGCTCTTGACTAGTGTATGCAAGAGCTTTAATTCAATCTCCAGTATCACAAGAAAAGACAAAAAAGTCTTCCAAGGAATATAGTGATTGAAAATAATTGGGTCAGGCATGGTAGTGGATGTCTGTAATTTCAACTACTTGGGAGGTAGAAATAGAAAACTCAAGGGTATCCAGCCAAAAAATTAGTGAGACCCTATCTCAGCAAATAAGCTAAGCACAGTGGAACACATCTGTAACCCCAGCTACTTGGGAAGTGGAGGTAGGACGATTGTGGTCCAAGACTAGCCCAGCCAAAAAGCACAGGACTCTTGGCTTTTTTTTTTTTTCAAGGGCTGGGGGTGTGGCTCAAGTGGTAGAGCACTTGATAGCAAGTATGAGGCCCTGCACCACCAAAATAAGGAATTCCAGTTATGATACAGGCATGTGAAGAATGGATCTTTTCCCTTTTCAGAGACTTCAATGATTAAAACTTCCAACCAACAACTTGACTTCAAATAAGCAAACCTCAATGTAGAAACACAAGAATTATGAAAAAACAAGGAAATGTAATACCTCAAAAAAAAAATCATAGAATAAAAAATTTGAATGGTAGTGAAATGTATGAAATTTCAAATGTTTAACTCAAAAGGGTAAAAAGATTGACCAATGAAATTATAGAACATATGAATAAACAGCTAAATCAACTCAGAGAATACAAACAGCTAAATAAACTCAAAGGGGATACAAGTAAACAGTTGAATGAAATACAACAATGCAAGATATAAAATGGGAATTTGATAAAGATATAGAAATCTTTTATGGCTTAGTATTATTCTATGGTATATATAAGAAAATGGATGGTAGAAATCATCATGTTGAGCAAGATAGGCCAAGCTCAAAAACCAAAACAGCACATGGTCTCGCTAACTTGTGGAACCTAGACCTAAAATAATGATCATGACGATAAAAATGGGACATGAATGCAAAGGGAGGAAGAAGAAAAGGATACTGAGGGGTGAAGAGGATTATAGTATGCTAGATTTCTTCTAACACCAGTCAGAATGAAGATCATCAAGAAAACAAACAACAACAATGCTGGTGAGGATACAGGGGAAAGGAACCTTTATATACTGTCAGGGTAAATGTAAATCAGTGCACCCACTATGGAAATCAGTATGGAGGTTCCTCAAAAACCTAAAAACCTAAAAACAGAGCTACAGCATCCTGGGTGCACATCCAAAGGAATGTACATTAGTACATAATGGAGATCCTAGCACATTCATGTTCATAATAGCACCATTAACAATAGTGAAATTATAGAATCAGCCCAGTTGCCCATCAACTGATGAATGGATAAAGAAAATGTGGTCTATATACACAATGGAGTATTATTCAGCTATAAAGAAGAATGAAATTATGACATTTGCAGGAAAATGGATGGAACTACAGATAATCTTGTTAATCAAAATAAGCCAGACTGTGAAAGAGAAATACTGTATATTCTCTCTCATATACAAAATCCAGATAGATGATCTATAACTTAGAACAGTGTGTAAAATTGAATCTGTTTTGGGGTAGGAGTCGGGGAAGGGGGAAGAATGAAATAAGAGGGTGAAGGGGGATGTAAAAATGATGGAAGTGTTATATGCATGTATAAAAATAAAATAATGTAGTCTGTTGAAATTGTTTTTTAAATGGGGGTGCATTAAGAAATAATAGAGGTGCTGAATTTGATTAAAGTATACTATATTCACATGTGGAAATACTAGTGATAACCCTTCTTTGTACAATTAATATATGCTAATAATAAAAGTTGAATACAAGAAAGATGAAAATTAAGATTTTTATTTATTTATATTATCTCACTCCTCACTTCTATCCTATAAAACAGTTTTATAGATAATAAAATAAAGCTTAAGTACTTTGTCCAAGGTTATAAGCTAATAAGGGCACTAAGAACAGAGCCAGAATGCACGTTAGATTTTCTTCTGACTTCATAATTTATCCTCATGCTCCTCATCCAAAAGCACAATAACTACTAAAAATTCTAACTTATGATCTCTCCATCCTCTAAGTCTTAACAAAAATTGGGAGAGCCCATTAAATAGTATCTGATTTATCACATATAGGACAGGGCTTCAAATTTGCATCTTCATCCAATATCTCCCTCATGTGAATGTTATTTAAAGTCTAAAGACTACTTAAGAGAGGTAGCAACCTCTCATTAGACTTTCTAGATATAAGTGGGAGGCAAGGGCACAGAGCATAAAACATGCTTATCTACCAGCCAGTCAGTAAACACATGGGCTTATCAATTCTCATCTTTAAAAAAAATCTTTAGAGAGGCTAGGATACATGAATTGCACTTTATTATAGCCTACATTCTCAAGAGCTGACAGCCTCGCAAAGCAGCTATTTTTATATCTAATACCTCCATTACTTCCATCAATTTTATTTTTCTAATATAAGAACTAAACATTATCACAGAAAGGAAATAACCTAGGTAGAGTATCTTTGGATGTACTCTTTTTTTTTTTTGCTTTGCACTTTGACAACAATCTGGAAATATGTTATTGTACGACTACTAAGAATGCTAACTGATAAATTAACCACATTGTTTTAAATTGATAGAAATAAAATTATTTAAAACAAAACAAAATCCCACAGACCATCTTTGTGCAAATGCTCTACAGTAATTACAAGCAGGTACCTTGGGAATACCTGGGGGTTCGGCAAAGGGTGGGAATAGAGATGCAGGATCCAAGAGAAGACTGGGAATAAGTATTAGGTTCCCCAGCTCAACTATCATCAGAGAAACATTAAATTTATCTGTGAGAGCTACTAGGCCTCTGCTTATGAATCACTTTAAAAAAAAAAGAGTTCCAGAGCTTTAAAAATTTTTGTTCTGCCATAATGCAAATTGCCTTTACCTTCATTAATTTTAACACAGCACATGCACAAAAAGCTACCTTTAAAGACATTCTATAATTCATCTAGTACAGCACAGCATGCCTTTGAGGAAAGAGAGATTCTTATTTATACTGGCTCTCTCCAAAAATACATCATCAGTCCAAGTTTCCAGAACTCTATTCCTGGCAGTATTTGAGTCTAGAGAGCCAAAGAAAGTCTTCCAAACTCCAAAAACAGTGAATTGAACATACAGAACGCTCCCTACCCAGTGGAGTGAAGAAAGTCATGGTTGATACGAAGAATCCCAGCACTAGTCCAATACACAGCATGCAGAGCGTAAGGATTCCAAATCGCCACCATGCAGCCACCAAAAAAGTTCCACCGATGCTTCCAGCTATTGCTGTTAGGAGCAAGCGAACTGTACAAAGGGAGAAAATACACTTTTGGATCACCAGCATTTCCTACTGTGTGCTTTAGACATATAAGACTGATCAGAGCCAGCCTCAGCCTTCCCTTGGTCAGCATGAAAACAACATGGAGCAGCCCTCACTAAGGAGGGCACTGTTCTGAGAGATGGAAACTAGTCATAGTGTCAAACCCCACAAGATTGGTGACAGGCTTGTCTTGTCAGTAAGTTGGGACCAATGAAGGAAAAGTGCCTATTAAGTAACAAGGGTAAAAGGGTGATAAGATAAAGAAAATCTTATCATTTTGCTTGTTATTCATTTCATATCTTTAATATATGACATAGCTGGAACACAAGTTCATATTCCTAAGTACCAGGTAATTTACCATGCAGATTTAAAACCCAGAAAGAAGGCCTGAATGAGCATTTTTAAAAAATGTGTTCAGAGCATAGGTTGCCCATTATTTCACACACATAATGGAATATCATCTACTATGCGTCAAACTGCAGAAGGAAAGGTAGAATGCTAACATGGCAATTTCCCTTTTGAACACCCAGTTAAGATAAACTATAAAGTTTAGTTTCATAAACTTCCACTTACCATCATACTTAATAGATGTCAGTCTTGTAATCAGTATATAAAAGAAGAATCCCAGGAAGATAAAACCTATGAAGAATAATTCTAGTAGCAAACCAACATCAAACAAACAAAAAATAAGCTGAGGTCAGATTCTCTTTTTACAATGCAATTTAAATACCTAATCTACAAATGTATACTTAAGCTCCCAGAATTTATTTATTATAGCATTCAAGAAAGAAAAAGATTGTCAAAAAGGCAAGAGAACTTTAGATGTCATTAGGAATGAATAATACATTAAGAACAGTGTTAACTACAGGACACACTTTCATGTAGGCAGGTCAGTTTCAATTGTTATTTCTTAATTTCATCACACATTTTAATACATTTATATTTTCTATTTTAAACAAAAATAGTACTTTTTCCTTCTTAAAGTGTTGAGGATCAAACAAACTAGGACATTTTGCTTGTGTCTAATCTGAAATGCACACTACATTTTAAGATACATAAAGAAAAAAACATATAAAACCAAAATATTCAAAAGTGAAATGTGAGCTGGGCTCCTGTGGCTCCTAGCTGCTTAGGAGGCAGAGATCAGGAGGCTCGTGGCTCAAAGTCAGACAAGAAAAATAGTTCACAAGACCCTATTCTCAAAAATACCCAACACAAAGGCTGATGGAGTGACTCAAGGGGTAGGATGCCAGCCTAGCAAACATGAGGGCCTGAGTTCAAACCCCAGTAACACCAAGAAAAAAGAAAAGAAAAATGTGGAGGAGTGGAGAATGGGAAGAAAATAAAGGGGGTGAATTTGTTCAAAGTACACTATACATGTATATGAAATGATCACAATGAAATTCCCTTCTATTAATGTACACTAATTCAAAAGTACAATAAAACTCTTGTTACAAAAAGTAAAATGTGACTTTTGTACCTTCTTTTAGATCATCTTTTTATCTTCATCTGTTAAAATTAGTTAAAGTACAAACACATCAACAACTTGGTTTCCTATAAGTCTGTCTTGATGAAGTAGGACACAGCTCTATCTATTGTCTTAAATTCTTCTCAGTCATTGGTAACACTTATACCATGTCTCAATTTCGATTATATATAAAATGATACATATCAATGTAAATGAAAAACTTGCTAAGATCTTTGGTATTTTGCCCATAGCAAAGCAATTAAATTCTTTGTTAAAGAATCATTCTACACCCTGAGGAATTAAATATTCCTCACAGTATTCCCTTAAATTAATCAAGAAAAGGTGTCATATGGAGAGAAAGGAATTGTAACTTGAACACTTTATTATAGCAAATTCAAAGAATTGCATTAGGTCAGGATTATGCTTACTCTACACTTGTTACTCAGTTATATACTTTGTTGATTAATAAAGATTGTTTTGTTTAGTTTTGCCTTCTGTTCTTGAGAAAACAGGCAAGTCTTGAACTTTTGATCTTCCTACCTTCGCATCCTAAATTCTGGGATTACAGGTATATGCCACCATGCCCAGCAGGACGTTTTTTTAAATAATTAAAAACATTACATAAATGATAGCCCAAAGAATGGAAATCAGTTCAGTGAGCATAATTTATATTCTACTCCCTACTCTGTGCCTTACTCTGGATCTGAAGTTCTCTTTGGTGGCTGAAGTCTCCAGGACTGGGCAGACATTTCGGTCTCACTGTACACTATAGTCCAGAAATCTGATTTGTATGAGATTTAAAATCTCAGTGATGTCTAACTAGTAGATCTAGCAATTAAAGAAGTTTGCCACACAAACCAAATTTTATATCCCTTTTAATAAGAGGAAGATGTACTCTACTGTTGAGAAAAAATAAGAATGAAGAGCAACTCATTAGAGTCAGAGAAAGAAACCAGCCATAATCTATGAAGACAATGAAGAGAAGTAAGCACTCATTCTCCTTATGAATCATAAATTCCTAAGCAGCAATAAAGGCAAAATACCATGAGGCATATAACTAGCATTTACATTGAATGGGATACCTGTTTTCCAGAATCTGTGTCCAAAGAAACAAATGAAGAGACCAAGCAGGGCAAAAAGAGTGAAGAACACTTTGGTAGACAGTCTTCCTAAAAAATAATGAAATTTAGTGGATAAGTAAATCTAATTTGATACTCTGTATTTAATTAAGATTCATGGAAAAAGCAAAGTGAAATGACAATGATTTATTCTAAATATGCATAATTTATCTTAAAAATACTCATGTGCCCCTAATGAATTAATCTACATAAGCAATTAATGTCAATGGCTGTTTTTATAACAATTGAGAAATCAGGCAATACAAGCTACTGACATTAAAAGAACATGTATAAAACTATAAAACCACACATGTACATATCACTTCCAATCTTATCAATACACACTGCTTTGAGAAAAAAATATTTCATTAAAACCAACAAAAAAGCGCAATGTGCTTCATGATGTTAAAGAATCTCTAATCCCATGGTCCTTCGTAAGTATAAACTTAAATACAGACGCCATGACTACTCAAAAGATACAGTTTATCAAAGAGAAAACATGCTCACTAAATAATTCACCATCATCATAACTTCTTTAAGATAAACATAAGAAAATAATCCCTGAACTAAGAACAAAAGCAAAACACCATACAATCTCTTATGAAAAATGTTACAAATTTGCCACAAATTGAAACACACCAAAATACTTAACAATACCCAAATGGAGATACCATAAAGACACATTTAATTAAGAAAAAAGACCACAATTTGCAGGACATAATGTATACCTACAAATCATCTTTTCTGAGAATGAGGAGCCCAGAAGGCAGATTATGTAAAAGACAGAAATGACACATTCTGCTTATTTTAGATCTATGGTTGATTGTCACCAAAAATAGGGAGCTGAGTGGAATGAGTTTTTTCAAATGAAAATCTGGTGTAAGGTTCCAACCAGTATGACCACCAAGATAGTAAGATCTTCTGACTCAATAAAAAACTAAACATAGAGCTAGCTATTCTTCTATGACATCAGAAATTAACTCTCTCCTATCACAGTACCAGGAAGGAGAGAAAAATAATTATTCAAATAAAGTCAGAGGATAGGGAAAGTTTCATAAGAAGCAGAATCTTGAGACAGCACAAGAGAGGAAATAAGCAGTCACTTTGGGAGGGGGGAGAATAAGGACAAAGGAATGAGTGGAACAGGATCACAGCAGACAAAGTTTAAAGGGATTTAACCATCACAGTTCCACTAGAGATGATACACAAACCAAGGTTTTAATTAAAAAGCAATGTGGATACATCCTTCCTGTTCACTCTCAGGAAGGGCCTTCTGTTACTCATTAGGCTTGAAAATGAAAGTAGTTTTCTGCACAGAACTGACACCTATTGATGTTTACCCTCTAACTGGACTGGCACCTACCCCCTGGTATACCTGGTCCCTAATGTAGACATTGCCCCAAACAATCAGTCCTTAACTACCCACTACAGTGGTAATCCAAACAGAGGGCCATCCAAGGGTTAAAAATAGCTACAGATATAAACACCTATAGAAAAAGTAACCATAGGAGATTCAACAATGCCGGCTAGAGGGAGGAAGCAGAAAGTGTGCCTCCAATAGTGAAATGTTGGAGAGATGCTGGAGACACACCTTGCAGGCAAAACCACCGAGAAGAGGCAAAACTTTGACCACTCAACACCTCCAGGCAGCACAGAGAATCTCCACTTCACATTAAACGGAGAAATGAGGAGGGCCCCTGGGCCTCCAGTTGCTGGCGCCCAGATGGCTTGGGAAGATGCGGACAAGGTGAGCTAAGCGGTATGGGGTACTTCTACAGACAACCCTGGGCCAGAACGGCATAGCCCCCTGGACAGACCAACCTCCACCGGGGGGGGGGAAAAAAGAGAAACTGAGTACTAAGCAATAAGAACAATAAAGACATGTAGCAAAGAGGGTGGGGCGCACTGATCGCCAAAGAGGGGGGGAGGAGACTACTTCACGGAACTGTAAATAAACAAGCCGGGCCTGGCCGAAGAGGCTCCAGCAGGAGCGGGGGGCGCACGCCCAGAAAAAAAAAAAAATAGTAACAGGACCAGCATCACTAGGAGGCTTCCACTAGAGGATGGAAGGGCAATTGGATCAGACCACTTCTCCTCAGTCTAGCATGAGTCTTAACACAGAGCTTGGGGTGCTTTGTGATCAGGAGGGGCTCTGGTGTGAAGGGTTCAAGGAAAGAAACAGAAGAACCCAGACATGATTTAGTCTATAAGTTTAAAATACAAACTTACATCTTTCTAGGTATCTTGCATTCTCTCTCTCAAGGATTCTGGCAATAGAAGACTAGGTGACACAGAATCTTTGCATGATCACACTTTAGTGAGGCTCCTGAACCCTCTCACTGACCCATCTGTGCATAACCTTGTAAACTTCAGTTTCAGCAAGATCTCTGATAAACCAAATTAGCACGAACTAGCCCCTGCCATTATCTGACCACCCTCCTCATCCTTCACCAAAGTGATGTCTGACTACCCTGGCCTGACTTTAAGCAAAAACCCTGTTATTTCAGATTAGACAGAATTCTCCCAGACCCCGGATATAATTTTCCACCCATAGGCCCCACCCTGCTCCTTGGCTGTAAGTTTTCACTGCCCGAGCTGTATCTGGAGTTGAGTCCACTCTTTCTCTCCCATTCCAAAGTCCACTGCAGTGGTCCCTATACCTATAACAATACCCTTTTCCCCTGAATAAAGGCTTCTTTGCTGCACCTAAACAAGTGTTACTGAATTTTTTTTTTTTAAGAATGGGATGCAGCTGTACTAGAGGGAAGGAACCCTAATTCCTGGAACAAGCACAACAGACATTATTCTTCAAAGCAAAAATCCTTGAAAAGGCTATTTGAACTCTTCCAATTTCAGTTCTCCTATTTGTTCTTACATATTCCAGTCATACCACTCCACTGGAACAGCTTTCACTGGCACCAATAGCCTCCAGCCTCCATGATGCTCAAGCCACTAATCACTTTTTACCCAAACCTACCTGCAACATCTGACATAGCTCATTACTCTCTTTCTTGAAACACTTTCTCTCACTGCCTTCAAAAACATCACTTTCTGCTTATCACTCCTGCTCCTCCTTCTCAGTCACCTTGGCCAACACACACTGGAGCCCCAGGACTTATCCTGAGACACCTTTCCCTTTTCTACATATTCATCCACAGATGAAGTCTACAGCCTTAAATACCACATGTTTAATCTGATGGCTTCCAAGATAATTTCAAGCCTGGACTCTCTCTTAAATTCTAGCTGATACATATAACCAACTGTGGATTGAAAATCTCCACTTGAATGCTTAATAGTGCTCTCAAACTGAACATGTTCCAAATTGAACTCTAGATATGCCCTCCGAATCCTGTTCCCACCTCTGTCTGTAGTTGATCAGGCCAAAAACTACAGTCATGTTAACACTGCTTTCTCCCTCATTTAATCCATCACCATACCCTATTTTAAAATATATACAGCCACACATTGCTGAAATCTGGGACAACCAGGGTGAAATTAGAAAAATGCCATTGATCAACCACTTAGTAATAAACGTTTCAGGCAAAGACCACAGTTTGCAAAAATAGTGAGGATTTGAGAATGAGATTCACTAAAAATACCTCCCCAAAAGACACTTAAAGAGGAAAATAGTGACTATGGTGAGGAAAACTGGGAGCCATTACTACCAAGTAACCAAGGTTATCATTACCAATTATGAGAAAAACATCAAGTGAGAAGGACACAGTCATCACTTCCAGAATTTAACCATGAGGAAACATCAAAGCAACTAAAATTAAGAACATCCCAAAAAATAAACATCTTGTATTTCTCAAAAAAGTTCAAAGTCTTAAAAGAAAAACACTGAGAAGTCATTGCACATTATAAGGAAACTAAGGCAACACATCAGCTAAAGGCAACTCAGGATCCTAAATTGGACCCTGAACAAGGAAAAAACAAACTTTGGGGGACTTATTTAATTTCAATGTCCTCTAAGACATTAGTGGAACAACTAGTGAAATTTGATAACATCTTCAGATGAGGTAACAGTACTGTATCAATGTTAATTTTGTGGTTTTGATTATTTTACTATGGTTATCTAAAAAAATAAACACAGAAGTATTTAAGGACTGCAAGATTTTTATGTAAGGTCTTTATGTCTCCAATTTACTCTCAAATGTTTCAGAAAATAAGAGTTGTGTGTGTGTATGCATATATATATTTATAGAAAGAGAGAAAGAAGACAGAATGAAAAGCAAACATCATAGTATGTTTACTAGTATTAGAGAAATCAGGGTGAAATTATGCCAATTTTTTTAAATTTTTGCATCTTTTGTGAAACTATTCCAATAAACTGTTAAATGGAAGTGCCCATGTGCATGCACACACACACATAGACATGCATACACTGATTTCACAATTGCAACATCTTCGCTGTCACAGTTCTCCCTAAATCACCATCAACTCTCACCTAGATTATTTCAGGGCCTCCTGACCAATCTTGCTGTTCCTACTCTTGCCCCTATCTTTTCTCTAAAGGCACCCAGTGATTCCATCAAAGTGTAAGTGAGATATTATTTGCTCAAAATCTTCCACTACTTTTCCATTTCCTTCAGAATAAAAGCTGAAGCCTGTATTATGAATTACAAGCCTACACCTGATCTGCCAGCCCCTGAACCTCTGGCCTCACCTCTCCTCTCACCTTCCTCATTCTGGAGCCACTGTTCTTGCTGCCTTTCTCCAGACCCCCAGGCAGGCTCCCAGAAGTGGGACTTTGTGTCTGCCTGCACGCACTGTCCCCAGATACCCACCTGGCTGTCTGCCTCCAAGGCCTTCCCCAGCCATCTATCTGATATTCTTCTTCCCAACATGTGTTATATCTTCCTTTCCTACTCTGTTTTTCTTTTAGTGCTCATAAGTTTCTCACACAGTAGGTATTTTATAAATTCATTTTGTCTGTCTCATCTCCTACACTGCATATAATACATATCCCAAGTACTTTGGTTGTTTTGTTCACTGCTACATTCCTTGAAGAGAGTAGAATAATGTAGGGACTCAAAAGGCATTGGTTGAATGAGTGAGTGAAAACTAGACAATAGCATTTGAACATCCTTAAATTTATATTAGTAGAAATTATCTGCAAAGCCAAAGAAGAATCTGTCAAAATTTAAATACATATACTCACCAAGAGAAGCACAATTATTGTCCACTGCCTCAAAGCTGCAAGCATATGTGTGAGCAGGAACATAAGCAGCAGATGTATTTAGGAATGGGTCCCAAACAATGACATTATAAATGACTCCTTGTCCCCGGAGGGTAGAGAAGGAAACAACTGTTTTGTCGTTAGCTGTTAGGGTAACTACCTAAAGCCAAAAATAATGCACGATTATTGCTTTGACTTTTTAAAGCTGTTTTAATATAATCCCACCTACATTTAATGAATTGTAATATTAATTTTGGACAGGCACCAGTAGCTCACGCCTGTACTCCTAGCTACTCAGGAGGGAGAAAACAGCAGGATCGCAGTTCAAAGCCAGCCCCAGGCAAATAGTTCCTGAGATTCTATCTCAAAAAAAAAAAAACAGAACACCACCACCACCACAAAAACAGGGATGATGGAGTGGCTCATGTGGTAAGAGGGCCTGCCTAGCAAACATGGGGCCCTGAGTTCAAACCTCAGTCCCATCAAAAAAATTTTTTTTTAATTTTGTTTAAAATATACACCAAAAGTCTTTTGACAAATCCTACACAGTTTATATGATCTAGTAAGTTCTTATTTTAAATGCTTGCATAACTTTTATAGTATGTTAAATGTTAGGTAGTGCAAGTAAAATATGATATAAATAATGTATAAATGCTAGTTAGGACAAAGTAAAAAATGTTTTCATTTATTACATTTCAAACAACATAAGGGCAGGAATCATATTTAACTTGCTCTTTAGTACTTAGCACAATGCCCAGCAAAGTATTCAACAAATGGTAGCTATTACTACTAGCTATACCAGTGACTTAGATAAAATTTGTTAGTAGCTCACAGATTACCCACTTATTTTTATCTTAACAAGCTTTAAATAAGAAAATATTGCATGCAGTTTTGTCACACAGTTGTCCTTACTTCAACATTTCCCTTTGAAGGTTGTTCTTTAATAGGTAATAGTATAAAAGAAGCCATATATACCCTATATAACCATAATACATATAAATATTCCTACTAATATAAGTGAAAAAAATTAAACATTGGAGCTTCAAAAGTAAACAGTTATGAGCCCCTAGAAAGACACCACTGTGTAAAAATATTGCTTAATTTTCAAAATACCCATTTTTCTGGGCAAAGGAGTACTCAAGTTCAACTTTACCACCTACTTTGTCAAGTTTTTCACCACTCAAAGTTGAAACCATACAGAAAACCTGAAGGAATACAATAAATAAACTATATACCATCACAATTATCAATATTTTACCACATTTTCTTTTTTCCTTCTTTGAGGTGCTGTGGAATGAAACCAGGTTTCTAACAAGCACTCTATCACTGACCTATGTGCTCAGGCCCATACTTGCTTTCTATCACCCCTTCTTTCTCTTCTATTTTTTTTTCCTGATGTACTATTTTAAAGTCAGTTACAGACATCCTGACATTTTACTTCTAAATACTTCAACGTGCATGTTTAAACAGTGTTTCTCAAGTGTTTCGTGTCTGAATCACTAGGGGAATTTGTTAAAATGCAGATTCTGATTCTGTCAGTCAGAGGTGTTACCTGCAATTCTGTTTTTGTAACAAGCAGACAATGCTATGCACCCATCTTACACATTCTGAGTAGCAAAGTACTAAATATAAGTTTAAGATGGCAGACATACTCAGTAATCACAAGCCAGAGCACAAGTGCTGGCGCATCTTCACTCAATCACTACAGGGTACTGAAGAGGGGAGTCTACTTAAGTGAAGTCTTAAAAATAAGCCTCCCAGCTGGAAAGAGCAGAAGACCCTGTCTTTCTTAGTTTGCTATTTATTTTGTTTTTATTTATTCTCTTCTTTGCTACCTCCAACTCTCTGAAGACCACCACAACTCCACTGAGCAAGCAAAAGTCCAATCAAGACTCAGTGTGGATCAGCAAATTGGTGGGGATTTGGACTGTCTGATGGACAGTGAACTGCATGAGTGGAGGGGGGTGACCATGCACTGTGCATGACTGAAGGGCCTATTTGGAGAACTTGGGAGAAGCAGGCAGGCTTTGCTCAGCATGAACCTTGGCACAGTGAGTAATCCATGTGCTCTGAGCCACCACTTGCTAGAAGCAGCCCCACTACTGCAGGAAGCAATCCCACCCACATCAAAAAGAGCCCTCCTCACACCCATTCGCCACACCAGAAGTTCTGCCTGCCCCACCCACTGAGGCTGTGCAATCCCAAAGCAACCCCACCCATGGAGTTAGGAGTCCCCAACCACTTAAAAAGCCTTATGCCTATGGTGCTAAGAAGCACCACTCTGCATCTCCCCAAGCAACTCACAAGCAGAGTTAGGAGGCCCTGCCCACAAGAGTCACTGAGCTGGAAAACACCTCCTGTATGGACCTGCTCTCACAAATGAGCTCTGCCTAGCTGGGGGTTGTGACCCCTAGCAGCCATGGCCTCCTAAAGCTGTTGCAGCAGCACCCAAAACTGAGCCAGGTACCCAGGCTGTACCTAGAAGGGAACTGCTGCAGAACCCAGCAAAGAAGAAATCTGTATCTACATTTTTCCTCAGCAAGAAGTTGGTTTGTTTTATTTCTTTCTTTTGAGGTTTTTTCTTCCTCTTTCTCAAACCATTCTGCATTTCTCTGTAATAATTATACAATGCTCTTTCATACTATTATTTCCTATATTTTTCCCCTCTTTCCCTTCACTTTTCCACCCCCATTCCTTATATTACCTAATTTTTAATACCTGCAACTTTTAATAGCATTGTTAAGCTCTCAGTTTATTCCATAAGCACCTGAGTTCCCTTCTTCTACAACTTTATGGGTATGTAAATGAGGTTTCTAATTGTTTCTTACTACATTTAAATATCTGATTTATTATTGAATTGCTGCCCTTGTTACTGCAGTAAAATAGAAATTCACTCAAATGTGCAAATCCTAACCAGAAACACAAACAATATGAAAAAGCAAGGCAATCTTACACCTCCAAAACCTCATACATAATCCAAGGATACTGAATTTACTGAAATGCCAGGTATAGAATTCAAAAGCTTACTTTTTAAAATGATTAATGACCTCAAAGAGAATGTGAACAAATAGATAAATGAAGTTCAGGAATCAATTCAAGATCTAGATTAAAAAAAAGTAAGCAACAAAGATAAGAAATTCATCAAGGAAATTGAAATTAGGGGAAAAAAACAGAAATGTTAGAAATGAAAAGTTCAACAAATCAAGTAACAAACACAGTACGCAGCATAAACAGCAGACAAAATCAAGCAAAAAAAAGAATATCGGGGTGGAAGATAAGATTGGTAAAATATTGCACTCAGAAAACAATAAAGAAAAATTGAAAAACTATGATCATAACCTTCAAGAACTCTGGGACACAATTAAGAGACCAACTTAAGAATCCATGGGATAAAAGAAGAAGCTGAAATACAAACTAAAGCCATAGAAAAGCTGTTCAATGAAATTACAGCAATTTCCCAAATATTGGGAAAGATATAGGCACACATGTACAGGAGATATTTCAAACTCAAATAGACATGTCCAGAGAAAGACCTCACCATATCACACTGTAATTAAAATACCAACAATAGAGAACAAAAAAAGGATACTGAAAGCTGCAAAGAAAAATGCCAACTTACATACAGAGGTAAACACATAACAATCACCTCAGATATCTCAGTACAAACCCTAAAAGCCAGGGAAGCATGGAGCAGTATGTTTCAAAGTCTGAAAGAAAATAACTGCCAACCAAAAATACTATATCCAGGAAAGTTATCCTTCAATTTTTCTGGAGACCTCCCAGGATAAGGATAAACTAAAGCAGTTCATGTCTACTAAGACTGCACTGCAGAAGACAGTTAAGGGAATATTATACACAGTAGAGGAAGAGAGTCATGAACATGACAGCTCAGAAAAGAATAAAATTCAAAATGGAAATAGATGAACACATGAGAATTAGAAGGTATCAAAACATGTTCAATTCAGCAAACCAGAAAAACCCAAAGATGAATAATGGCAAAAGAAAACAATGAGCAACAGTAGCTTTTCTATATATCAACAAAGAACAGGCTGAAAAAGAAACCAGGAAAACAATCCTATTCATAATAGCCTCAAAAAAATAAAATATCTAGGAATAAATTTAACTAAGACCTCTACAATGAAAACTATAAAACACTGAAGAAAGAAACCAAAAAGACACTAGAAGATTGAAACACCTGTGATACCATTCTTGTGTATATATCCGAACAAATGTAGAACAATATACAGAGAAAATACCTGCACACCCATGATTTTATCATCACAATTCACAATAGCTAAGCTAAAGAATCAGCCTACGTGCCCTTCAACTGATGAATGGATAGACAATGTGATATGTACACAATGGAGTATTACTCAGTCATAAGAAGAATGAAATATGCCATTTACGGGAAATGAATGGACTAGAGAGTATAATGTTAAGCGAAACAAGGCAGGTTCAGAAAGACAAATATCACGTATTTTCTCTCAAATGCATAATCTAGACCTAAAACGTGTGTGTATATATATATATATACAAATGTATGTGTATGCATATATACATATTTAAATACATACATACGTGTGTTACGTACATACATAGGTATATATGTAAAAACCATGAATGGAATTGTTGGGGTGTTTTGAGGGGCATGGAGAAAAGAGACAGAGAATTATGGTACACTGTCATGGCATAATGAAACCCTCTAAAAACCTAAGAATTGGGGGAGAGAGGATATGGAAAAGATCAGTAGAGGAGGTTAATCTAATTAAAGTACCCCTTTGTACAATTAATATACACAACTTTTAAAAAAAGATTACCAGGTCATACAGGTAGCTGCAATGAAAACTTATTATTATTTACATGCATCTCCACCAGGGCCAACATTATTTTGGGGTCATCATTAGCAATTACTCCCAAGATGAAAACAAAAGAGAATAAAGTGACTAATCCAAAAGGATCACTATAACAGTAAAGACTCTTAATAAAGGTGACACAATCTAGTCACATAAACCCTTAGAATCACACTTACCTTGACAGCATTGGCCTTCACCTGGGGCACCTGGGCCATCTTCTGGAGGTGCTGCAACAACACATCCTCAGTGAGGTCATTCTCAGGTAGAAAATACTGATACACATCATACTGCAACCTCCACCTGAAGTCCCGGCCCATCCCAATATCACAGGGTGGAGGATCTGCACCTCTAAAGTCAATCAAGAAAACTGAACATCAGTCCCTTTGGTGCAAGTCTGTATATAAAACGGAGCCAAAAGACCTAATTTCAAACTTTTGCAGCAACAATTCCAAGTGAGCAGCTCACTCTCCCCGAGGGCCTAACTGGTGTTCTAGAGAAAAGTAATACAGTATTATGGATTCATGTTTGTGCTTTCCCAAAAATTCATATCTTGAAGACCTAGCCTCAATGTGATAGTATTAGAAGTGAGGCTTTTCATAAAGGTAAAGCCCTCATGAATGGGATTGTGTGCTTATGGAAAAAAAAAAAAGATCCCAGAGAGCTCTCTAGCCTTCTTTCCATCTTATAAAGATACAGCGAGAATTTACACCCTCAAAGAGGGGCTACACCAGCCCCCAACTATGCTGGCCCTCTGACCTTGCACTTCCAGCCTCCAGAATTGTGACAAATAAATTTTCTATTGCTTATAATTCATCCAGTCTTTGGTACAAGCTGACCATCCTTAATCCAAAAATCTGCAACCTGAAATGCTCAGAAATCTGAAACTTCTGTTTTTTTTTTTTTCAATACTGGGGTTTGAATTTAGAGCCTGCACCTTGAGCCACTCTACCAGCCCTTTTCAAGATAGGTCTTGCAAACTATTTGCCTGGGCTGGCTTCAAACCGTGAGCCTCCTGATCTCTGCCTCCTGAGTAGCTAGGATTACAAGCATGAGCTACCAGCACCCAGCTGAAACTTCTTGATATGGTGCTCGAAAAGTCTATGCAAATATTTCAAAAATCCAAAAACTCTGAAATCTCAAACATTTCTAGCCCCAACCATTTCATACAAGGGATATTTATTCTATACTTTGTTATATAGCAGCACAAACTGACTAAGATACACAGAAAGAGGCAGAAGTGTTTAAATAACCAGCTTCTGACGTGAGTTGGGCCCAGAGTGAACAGCCAACTTCACCATTTGGTAGCTGTGTGTAGGTGGGCAAGTCACTTAACCTCAATAACCCTTAGAAAAATGCTCTGTAACATAAGAGCAATTGCCCCATCTTCATAAAATTATTAGGATTAAAGGACAAAGAACACACAGCATTCAGCACTGTGAGTGATGCATAGGGAGCATCTCAGTGTTACTCAATGTTATCACTGCTATTAAAATAGACTGAGGCAGAGTTTTAGTTTTCAAAATATTAAATTCTTATAACACATAAGGATGTTTCAGGACTATAGATTGCTTTCTATATTTAAAATGCACAATTAAAACCAAGAAGCACTTCTGAGCCCCTAATAGGCTCACATACAGTTCTTAAATTAGAATTCATAAGAAGGGGGAGAAGATATGGGATGTTAACAACAAATGACAACTCAAATATTAGTAATGAGGTTTAAATTGCACAATTCCCAAAAAAATAAATACAATTTTGCTACAGAAAAATTATGAATTTAAGAGAGTTTGCTGAATCTACACAACATGCACGAATGTCCTAAAAGCAGTTTTAGGAGATGGGAGATAGTCATACCTTGAGTAGCCTAGGTTTGCTGGGGCAAATTTTATTGTTGTTTCAAAGAAATTATAGTCCAAGTAAAGGTTGGGATCAATATCTAAATCAAACTCCAAATTACAGCCTCCAGGGATAGGATCTGGGTGAAGAACAGGAAAGTTACTAAACCACAAATTCTTACTATGCTCCAAAAAGACTGAACATTAAGAAGAACGTCCCACTAGAAGTTAAATATTAACATAGAGCTTCCACTTTTACATTGTCCCAGGAGCTGAGGTTAAAGAGGTAAAGTCAGCCAGGTGAAGGGCCCTAGAGCAGGAGACAGCAAATCTTCCTGTAAAAGACCAGACAGCAAGTATTTTCGGCTTTTGGGTCTGAGGGTTCCGATGGCAACTACTCAACCCTGACTTTGTGACACAAAAGCAGACACAGGCAACATGTAAACAAATGGTCAAGGCTGTGTTTCGATAAAATTTAATGCACTAACATAGGTGGCAAACTGGATTTGGCGTAGTGCCTGTGGTTTGCGAATCTCTGCTCTAGAATTAAAAATGCCAGAAAAGATAGAGATGTAAGCTGAAGTACAAAAAGATTTTCAGGTACTATATAAGCACCCTGAAATTTTATAACAAATATTGAGTTTGTGCATTTTCTTTGGAGTTTTATCAAAGAGTTACAGTCTATGACCCCCAAAACACTTGAAACCCTATGAAAAGAGGTTTAAAAAAAAAAAATCACTGCCAAAGAGAAAAGGAACTTCACGGGTAGCAAAGGAAGGTGTATCCACTTTTCCTGGGCCTCTTTTTGAAAGAAGAAAAGATGTTTTCATCATCATTACAGAACCAGTCTTTGTGCATGTATAAAAGACTAAAAATAAAAGAATCCAAGACCATTTACAGGAATAGTATTGGGTATTTAATTAAACACTTGGTAAGTTTTGGCTACTTGACTTACATTGGTAAACACTCCATCTTTCTTTAGGACACTGAGCTTACTACTTCCTTTGCCTAGAAGAAATGCTTAACTGTTAATGTCTGTGTTTCTGCTTTTCCCAAAGGCTCCTTAAATGTTTTCTTACTAAATAAATGTATTCTAGTCACTACCTGAGCTTTCAATCATCACGCTAATTCCCTGGCTTCCTTACTGATAAAACATTTCTGGTTAAATAAACTGCACTTGCAATAAACAATCCTAATAGGACACTTTTCCTTAAATTTTCACAAACATATTGCTTATCTATAGACTAGCAGGGACAGAAAGGTTACCTCTTTCTGAGTAAGAGAGTGGAATGGCCACATTTTGGACAGGCTCTGCATCTACAGTCTCCAAGTACCAAGTACACATACTCTGCTCTGGTCTAAGAATGAAAACCAGTCCTCTGTCATTGCCTGTTCCTGAGGTATTGGGAAGGAGAGTCTGCAATTAGGAAAAAAATTATCATGAACAGGATATTGTGCAAAGCATAATAAATAACAGAGTTGATCTAGTATGCACACCCTTTTCTAATCTTCTCAAAATAAATGGGGGAGGGGGACCTTTTCTTAAAGGAAGAATTATTTTCATCTCTATGCTCACATGCCCACACCTACACTTGGAGAACTCTTTAAAACATACAATTGTTTTAATCAGTTTGGGCTGCTGTAACAAAATATCCCAGATGGGTGGTTTACAAACAACAGAAATTCTTTTCTTACAGTTCTGGAGGCTGAAAGTCTGGGATGAGAGTGCCACCATAGTCAAGCTGAGGTAATGCCCCTCTTCCAGGTTGCAGACTACCAACTTCTAGTTGCATCCTCACATGCAAAAGGGAGAGGGAGTTTTCTTGGGCCTCCTGTATAAGGGTGCAGCCCCATTCATAAAGGCTTTGCCCTGATGACCTAAAACCTCCCACAGGTCCCACTTTCTAATACCAAGATACTGGGGGTTAGAATTTCAACATATAAATTTGGGAGAGGGGGACACACCCAGTCCAAAACAATGATCTTCAATCAGGAACTCCACAGTGGATTTCACAAGCATTTTAATTCACTTGAATTAAGATTTACTATGACAAGTATTGATGCTACCAAGATAAAAAACATGAGACCTACACTGAGGAGTTCACAATTTGTGGAAAGTTTTTTAACCAAGTTATAAACATAGTATAAACTACACATAAAGTATATTATTTTGATGTTTTGATACATATAGATACCTGTAAGCCATCACCAAGAACATCAAGACATGTTCAAGATAGTGAAAAAAGATCCTAGTGCTCTTCCTAGTTTTTTCTCCCACCTTCTTGTATGCCCCCCCAACTTCCATCTGTTTGGAAAGCTTCTGAATAAAATGCTAAGAAACAACAGATTCAGAATGTTTTCTTAAAGCTCAGAAAGGGAATTAAAAAAAAAACAGATAGATGTTTTTCACTTTCACAAGTGTAAGGGAGTGACTCAAACATTAATTGGTTAACTATAAAGTCAATGGTGTCAGAAAACCAACTGCCATGACAACCCATAATTATAACCAGTAAGTGCCACACTTCATCAGGAAGTGCAGAAGAAACAGAAACTATTCTTTCCACATAGACCACTCACTTCTAGAGCCACGTGCAGTTCTGGTCATCATTCCCTCAGTACTGTGTATGATGGAACTAAAAGCAGACCGAGAAATGGAAAGTATTATATTTAAGGATAACTAAGATCCTTTCTGCATGGAAATCAAGGCCCAACACTGTGTTCATCCAGGTGTCTGTTGTCAGATACTAGCTGTGCTAACATCTGTTTATCCAAGCTTTGTTTCCTAAGATGTATATACAGGCATTACAACCACTTTGTTGAACTACTACGAGAATTAACTACATGGAAAACCAAACACAGGGGTTTCTAACCAGGGACCAGAAGTTCCACTGAGTTTCCAAAACCCCCCATGAGACTTTACACACACACACACACACACACATACACCCATTAAATTACATACTTTGCCTGAGAGTCCCTGGACTTGAGCAGTCTCTAGCCTCAAGAACCATTTGCCTAGTGCATAGTAGGCATTCAATAAATATAAATGCTTTTCCCCACATCCTCTCACATGAAAGTTGTTGCTGTCAATGAAATCCTGTCACTCATGACAATACAGATTGAACTAGAGGTCATTATGTTAAGTGAAAGAAGTTAGGCACAGAAAGATAAGTACTGTAATCTCATTCATGTGTGGAATATAAAAAAGTTAACCTCAATAAAGTTGACAGTACAAAAGTGGTTACTACAGGCTCCAGAGAAGATGGCAAGGGAGGGATGGGAAGAAGTTTATCATTGAATACTTGGTCATGGACAGCAATAAAAAAGCTCTGGTGTGCTATTGTACAGAAGAGTGACTACAGAAAACAGTAAGGTACTGTTCTCAAAAAGCTTGGAGTTTGAATTATTTTTACCATGAAGAAAAGATCAATGTTTGAGGAGATATGTTTAACTTCACTTAAACATTATATGAAGTATACATATATAGAAACATCATACAGTATCCCACAGATATGTATAATTTTTTTTTTGCAATACTGGTGATTGAACCCAGGGCCTCACACTTGCTGGACAACTGCTTGAGCTATGTCCTCAGCCCTTTTTTGTTTGTTTGTTTTGTTTTTTGAGATAAGGTCTCACTAGTCTCAAACTCAAGATCCTTCTGCTTCTGCCTCCTGAATAGCTGAGATTACAGGCATGTACCACCATGTCCAGCCTATAATTATGTTTTTATTTGTATTAACTAAAATATGTTTAACTTGCAACTAAAAAGAACTGTCTTTACAACTATTAAGAAGGAAATTGTATTATTTGTCAATTAAAAATATTTTTCAATAGAGCTAACTTAAAACAGAAGAAAGGAAATCATTTATTTGTCACTTACCATTTCTCCTATATAAAAACATCAGTAGGTTTTTCCCAGTTACTCAGGAAGCAGAGATCAGGAGTATCAAGGTTCAAAGGCTGGCTTGGGCAACAAACAGTACAGACACGGTGGTATATACCCATAATCTCAGCTACGTGGGAGTCAAAAGAAGGATGATCATGGTCAAAGACCACCCTGAACAAAAAGTACAAGATTCTATCTGAAAAATAAAGCAAAAAAGAACTGGAGGTGTGGCTCAGGTGGTAGAGGGCCTTCCTAGCAAGTGCAAGGCCCTGAGTTCAAACCTCAATATCACACACACACACACACACACACACACACACACACACACTAAAAAAAAAAAAACCCTGAATGGAGTTTTCTTTTGAATGTAGTGCCAGACTAAACAATATCCCTTGAGGAATTAGCATGCTTCCTTTCTAAGAAAGTTATGAAATTTAACATGATTTCCTTTCTGTGCCAGCAGCAAAGAACTGTGGTAAAAGTCAATGTATGGGTTACAAGCACTGATACGTCTTATAATTAACACAATACTCCTTTCTCTTTTTCCTTGACTGAACTTCCCATTTCTGGTCTATTAAATACTTTGCCCCACACTGCCTCCACCACCCACACATAAATTTTTTAAAATTTCATGGTCAAAATTGGAAGTAGTATTTTAAAATAAACAAGTAAATAAATAACCTTCGTGGTAGGGACAGGAAGGCAAGAAAATACAAAATACTTAATAGGAAAAAGAATATAACTAATGCCTATAAAACCATGTATGAGTTAGGTTAAGACAGCTTTGTTTAACTAATTCCAGAATATCATTAAGATAGCCTTACAATAAATCGCTTGAAAGCATAACTTCATACGTGGTGAAATTCACTCATTAAGCTAAGACTCATATTAGCTAAATATAAATAGGTTAAATATAGATAACAGCTGAAGTTAACCCAAGGCATTTTAAATTTTCCAGAGCTGAGGAGGGTTAGTGATGCCATCTATAATAGATTGTTTAATTCTGTTGGAAGTAGAGTACCAGGCAGTTCAGATGAACTGTTACAACTCCTTTGTTTGCATGAAAGACTCCTAAGAATAAAGTTGGTCATAGGGGCTCTTAGTAAACTATAATACTAAGTGCCTAAACAACAATGGGAGCACATTAAAATGTATTCTCAGGTAAAAATCATTAAGGATCAAAAATGGCTTTTACTGAAATAATTCTTTGTACTTACCCTAGAAAATGAAACTGTTGTATTCTGATACTGTGAATGTATTTGGAAAATAAGAAAAGTCACATTGCTTGAAATATGATGCAAAACGGCCTCCTCTGGAAAGGACCTGTTGAGCTTGAAGTATCTAAATTTCCCCACAGAAAATTCAAGAAAACCTACAATGGGAAAAACATTTCATTACAATACTATACATCTAATGTCAATTTGTAGAAATCAAAACAAGTTCATGAACAAATGTAGAGTGCTAATTTAACTCTCAGAAAATCTCCTTGAGGTAAATATTATTGTTGCCTCTATCTCACTAATGAAGACAACAAAGCTTAGGTGAAACAGGGGCTGGGGGTATAGCTTGATGATATGGAACATGCTTGGCACGAACAAGGCCCTGGATTCAATTCCCAGTACCAAAATCAAAGGGTGGAGTAGCCCCTCCCAAGGTCATTCAGCTGGTAATCAGTGGCACTGAGAACTGAAATGGATGATGGGCATTTTAAAAGATGTGAACAATACTCAAAGTGCTGAAGAGCCCAGAAATTTTTCCCATCTGGTAAGAGAAGAACAATTTTCTTTGGAACAGAGTCCCTTGCATTTAAGGATAAGCAATCCTCTGAAGGCAACATGAATCTATTAGAATCCAAAACTAGTATTACTGAGTGAATTCCTAAGTCATCACAACTTGAAGAGATGCAATTCAATTTATCCCAGATTTTGCAGCAGTGTGATTTCACTTAATTGCCCTAAACCTCAATTTCCTCATCTGTCAAAAGGGGATTATTACCTAACTTGCAAAAGCAGGTATCAACACTGGTAAAAATATTTGTTGATTGTCCACACCAGGACTTGGCATGTAATTGTGAACCCTGAGCATTCTGGAAAAGAGAGCTATATGCTTGCTTGAATAAGAATCAAGCTCAGAATCCATACAAAAGAAAGTTACCACAGGATAGTTTTCCAATACCTCCTCTAAGGCCTCTCCCATCTGTCCACTTGCCTCAATTGTCTGCTTATGGGTTTGGTTTGGGGTTTTGCACTCCTGGGGATGGAACCCAGGGCCTTCTGCATGCTAGGCAAGTTATACTCCCCACCCTGTCTGGTTGTGTTTAACTGACTTGTCTATGGTGATCTAAGCATCTTTATCCCAAGTTACATGCCAGTTCTCTCTTTTTCCAATCTAATTCTCAATTTACTCAATTAGGTTGCTTTTACTTGTGTGCAGCCCTGGATTCCCACCTCACCCCCTAGCCTCTAGTCAATATTATCTCTGCATAAATAACAGAAGAGTTCCCAAGTATTACATAAACAGTCCTGAAGGGTCAGAACTAAAAGAGGAAAAAAAAATTAAATTCAATATATATGAAAAGGAGTTGATGAGGAAAAGATCATAAGTCACCTGAATCCCAGAAATGGAACTATCATGTTTTATTTTAGAAGGAAATTAGAGTCAGTGGGCGGTAAAAGAAAACACTCCAGATATTAAATAACATATTCTTACATACCATTTCCTAAGAAGGCTACTTTTCAGCATTTTTTCCCTTAAATTCCAATACTTCATCAGAACAGTTAAAAACAAAACAAAGGCAAGTGTGATGGTACACACCTGTAATTCCAGCATTCAGGAGGCAGAGGCAGGATTGAGATTTTTGAGGTCAGCCTGGGCAAAACTCTGTATCAAAAAAACAAAACAAACAAACAACAAAAAAAAAACCCACCACTATGGGAAATGATCAAACTATGGAAGGAACTCCAAACAGTTCATACAAAGGGTACTAAGAACAGAAAAATAATCTCTGCAAATTTTCCTCAAACTCTGCGATGTTTATTACCTTTATAACTTAGTGTTTTTTAAATTGATATTCAGTGGGGGTTGTTGTCTAAGGGTGAGGCTTGTTTCTGAGGCAGGCTTTTGCTATGTAGCCCATGTTGGCCTTGAACTTGCTATGCAGAACAGGTTGGCCTCAAACTCAAGATCCTCTAGCCCCAGCCTCCTGAGTGGAGGAGAGATTACAGGTATGTGCCACCATACCAAAATTAATGATTTTTTTAAAAAAATTGATGATAGCAAAAAGGTTATTTGTAGTCATGACTTTATTTCTAAAAGTCCAGAGAAAATTTTAGTAGCTGTAGCAATGACAGAAGAAGCATGTTTTCTCCTGTTTATAAAACCAGAAAGACATTTTGCATTTTATATAGACCAAACTCCAGCTGGAAACTCCAGAGGTAAAACGTTAGGGAATGGCTGAGGTAGGTCTGGAAAATACATTTTTTTTAACAAATACAAACATAAAATATTTTTACATTTTCCAGGTCTTCCTATCATCATGGTTATTTTATTAGGAAACCAAACTATATGTAAAACTAAATGGACCTCAGTAAAATGGCACTAAAAATGTTTCATATATTGTACTTTAATTTGGAGCCTATCTATCATCCATCTTCCAGTCTTTAAAATCCTCATTCTGGTCATCATCAGTCTATTGTCCTAGAATTAGACCTCCATCCTTTCACTGTCCAGAGCTCTCAGCTCATTTGCTGCCCTGACTTTTCTAGTTTCGCTTTTGGATTTTCCCCTTTCTCTAATTTCCCATTTGGCAAATATTCATGACGTACCTGTGAAAGTCATTCTGGCTGTTGGGCATGATCATAAAGGTTATCCAAGACTTCTGTCTTTATCACTTAAGATTTGCTGTCCCATTAATCTCAGAAAATGTTTTTATAAACCTTAAATGTATCTCCCATCACATGGACCTTAATCTAGAACACAGCCTTTGAAAGCCACAGAAGAGACTGAAGCCACCACTGGATGTTTGTGGTAAACTCTCCTTTAACCTGTCATGCAGGGGTAAGGATGACCACCACTCATAAATATTAAAACTTTAGAAAGTAAAGAAACATGGGACCATGGAAATTAAAATATATTATTAAAAACTGGTGATTTGACAAGACAAGCAGGTGTCCTTGGGAGTATATGTCAAGTGATTTTTCTTTTCTTTACATGTGTTCTTTGTCAAATTTCTATGGTAATCATGAGATGCCCTTATCAGAAAGAAACTATTTGATTTATAAAAAGCTTCCATCCTTGATGGTACTCAAAGCACAAGGTCTACCTTGACTCTACAGTTTAAATTTGTAAAAAAAGTGTCTGGGTTCAATCGCTTTTTAAATTAAAAAAAGTATATAGGGACACACTAAACAAATGGGGACACTCTCTATACTCGTTGCTTCCACTTAAAATAGTAATATTTTTCTAGATAATACATAAATCTTATTTAAAAGGTACAAAATATAGACAGAGTTTATTCTGTTCTGTCCAGCAAGGACACTGTTACCACTTTAGTATAGTCATTCTGGAATCAGAGTTTTAGGTCCAGACCCAAACTGCAGGGGTTCTACATCCCAGGTCTGGCCACTTGCCCCTATATGTCAAAT